TGAAATCAGAAATACACACTTTATTGCAGTTTATACTTTTTGACAGGTGTGAACCTTCAGCTTTATATATCACTTTATGAGGCTTGATGATATTCAGCTGAGGCTGGAGTCATTTACAATACAGCCCTGGTATCATACAGAAATCATACTGCAAATCTTTTCCTCGCTCTCTCACTTAAATATCTTTTTCTGCTTCTCTAAAATCTCCATCGGAGACATTTTGTCAGGGTTTACGTCTTCGTAAAGCGGCTTTTTCATTTGCCTCCAAATGACCAAACATATCCGAGTGGCACACAGGGCACAGGCTACACCCAGCAGGGCAGCTATAGTGGAAAGAAAATATCAGAGCGTGGCATCAGTGTGCATCCACATATGAAGTTATCATTTATAGTCAGTGCTATAGTGTCATTGAGACCGGTTGATGGTTTATCCTCACCAATAAAGATGTTGTTGCGGGTAGGAGCTGCGGTGTTGTAGTTTTTGGTGAACACCCCTGTCAGCGCCCAAATCACAGTGGGGTAAATGCTGAAGATGAATCTCACATATTTTTCAAGAATGGAGTTTTCCAGGATGAACCTGTGAGAGAGACGGCACCTTTTATTGATCCATTTTTTCTAAAGAAGTCGCCCTTGTTGTTTCCTCTGTTTGTCAACTTACCACGCTATCAGCACAATGGACAAAACAGAAAGAGCAAGAGTGGCGCCGTCAGCGTGGGACATGCTTGCATCATACGTCAGCACAATGGTCAGGTTAAGCAGGAAGGCAATAGTTGTCCACGTTGCATAGATGGCAATGCCGTTCTGAATCTGCAATGAAGACAAAGCAAAAGACAGAGATGCTGAGATTATAAGCATGTACATGAAAAAAAAGAAAAGCAAACATCAGGTGCCATACTAACCAGCAGATGATGGAGCAACAGGTCTGTTCTGTGGTATTTGTTGAGCCAAGCTCCATAGTTATGCAGACCGTAGCAGGAGAAGTATATTACAGCGTAGTTAGTCAAAGCGATTAGGATGAGGAAAGCCAGCGCAGCAGGTGTGTACCTTTAGCAGGGATGAAAAACAGAATTTGACCACAATGAAAACAATTAACCTGCACGTTAGAAGCTGTGTTTACATGCTTCTTGCATGGACATACTTATTTTTCCCATTCATTGCATGATTTCAGGTCAATCTTATCTGCATATTTAGGCCAAGAGGGCCTGACAATGTGATTCAACACAGCTTCATTTGGTTACTCAGCTTAGGTGGACTAACCTAACTAATCAGCACTATATCCAGCCCTCATTTATATGCCCCCTTTTCTAATGCAGCAAGGAAAAACATTAATCAATACTATGGCTTTTTAATGACATCAGTTAAAACTCTCATCACACTCACTTTCTGTCCCACAGGAGCAACCATCCAATATTGACGCCCAGATTTAAGCAAAAAGTTACAAAAAATCCGTGTGGCAAAACTGCAGGGCTGCAGTAGACATAACCATAGGCATTCCTGCAGAAAGAGGTAAATGTAGACTTCAACAAACATCATATAGGAGAGGAAAAAATTTGTCTCAAGAATAAAAAACTTACTTCCTAAAGATGCCTGCAAAGACATAGAGCACCCCTGAACCCATAAAGATGTAAATGATGGACCAGATGGTAAAAGTCCACCCTGAAGGCGTGATCTGGGTCACAAACTCATCTGAAATGTTCGCGGTGGTGGACAAAAATGGATCTGTGGCGCAGAAACACAGAAATCAGAGAGAGAGACAGAGTGCTCAAAGGTTACAACGTAATTCTAAAAGTATTAAAAGCCAGACTTACGTTTTCCTAACGCTGCCAGAGCAGACAACACAATGGTGACGATGTAGAAAATCACTGCCAGCACTATGGCAATGGCAAGAGTGATGTGGTGTTTTGCCATTTTTAGTAAGCCAGTTTCTATAAAACAGAAGAATTATAATTGAAGACAAATTATAACAAGTTTCTAAATTTCATATTAACAAGTTGCCATCAGTATTACATGTCACTAATCAGAAGAAGCCATGACGTACCGTTTAATGTCTTTTCTTGACTGAAAGCACTGGAAGACTGCTGTGTGGGGTGGGCTTTTCTTTTTTACATAAAACAAAGCTGGTTTTGTAACAGTGGAGCTTTTATAGCCCTGTAGCACGTGTACACGTTTGACATCCTCCACGTGTCCTCTGTTTTCGGCTGATTAACTGAACAAAAAAGGGGTAAAACAATCCTGTTGCCGAACTCACTAAGCTTTATAACCATCTTCCATAACTTTAAACATACATAAGAGCTGGACTTTGCCCCAGCAGTCGTGTTTAGTAACAAGTTTTTATCGCAGACTCGTATCAGCAGCAGGTGAGACCAGGGAATGAAGAGCCAAAGGATTATATCAGCTTTAAGCAACTTAACCCTCACAGTTATGAAATGTTGGGTAGCTGCCAGCTGGAGATCTATGTATCCCAATTCTAAAACTTCTACGGGTAAATGAGAAGAGCCAATGATATGTTTGCTAATGACAGGCAAAATAAATGAGCTAGGATTATATAGAGCTGGAGTGCACATGAAAACAGAAGGTCATGTATGATCACGCACATACACAGAAGGCCACACACACCCCACATCAGAGCAAGACTTTGCTAGAAACACGTGTAAAATGCTGCACTGAGTTAAAAGTTTATGATCACCTGTTTGGTCAATTTTCGTTTCTTTCAGCTGTTTTGTTTCTTATTTGAATCACGTGATCCAACAAAAGATGTCTGTAATATATAAAGTTCTGGTCTTTAGGACATATTTTTATACATCTGTGGAGCATTTAAAGATAGTGGAAGTAGGTTAACTGCACTTTTTTCATACATTTCCATCTGGAAATTAATATCCAACATTGTTTTTTGGAGGATTCTTAAGGGGAAAAAAACAGACTGAACGACACAGGAAATAATTTCCGTTAGGGATCAATAAAGTATTCTGATTCTGATGATGTTAACATTTCAATAAGTATGTAATGTCGTATTTAAAGGCAGTTTGTTGTAGGGGTTTTACAGTTTTTACAAAACAGCTTGTTTGCATGTTATCTATTCAAAACCTGCAATAATGTTCAGATTTATGTGCTGGATTTGTATTCAGATAAGCTTATATTTAGAAATGTAGGCTTTATAATGCATTTTTAAATGTATGCAAAAGTATTTAAATGTACATTTTTAAGAACTTGTATTAGGAAATTAAATTGTCTTGATATACAACACTGTGCAAGCATCTTGAGTGACTCATTTCTTAATATTTCGCTTCCAAGGAGCCAGATTTTGTTGTATTTTATCAACTTAATATATATTCATATGTCTGCTCTGTCACACATACACTCATTTCTGGTAATCAGATGGCATCTAAAAATCTTGGCTTTATGTTTAAATGAATATTTGGGTCATTCTTCTGTAAAACTCAGGCTGGAGGCTGTAGAGGAGCTTTTCTGTATCATGTTCTAAACAGCACAAGTTTTGATGCATGCAGTGACATTGACACGTAGTGAGCCACACAAATAGCATGTTGAATCTTTCACACACCGTGCAGTGTGTTTGTCGCCTCACCAGACCACAATGATGCGTGCAAAGTTACATTTTATCACACAAACTGTAATTTGCATAAATTCCTATGTGATGCATTTTGTTCTAATCAGTAAGAGCACTGTCTCTAAGCATGTTTAAGAGGAGTGAGCTACAGCTTTCTCAGCACCACTGAGCAGACTCCCTGCTCCAAGTGGCAAAAATGAAAGTGAAACATTCAAAAGTGTAGATACGCTTCCCTCTTGTCAACTGACAAAATTCATTGTACCAAAAAGATTCCTGATATCCAGGCGTATGAGATGTCATCACTCACTGCACACATCAAGTCGGCTGTGACAGCAATTCATATGTGTTTTTAAAAAATCCCCATTGTTGTGCCACACAGGGTGGGGTGATCTCTGAAGACATGATTCAAATGATTTTCTCCAGCTCTCTTGAGCAGCAGCTAATAGGTACTCAGCGCTTTAGGAAACTACTTTCTAAAGGTACGTTTTTCTTTGGACATTTGCTGCTCTTTCATTCATTTTTCAGTCCAGTTCTTGTACCTGAACATTTTCAAAGGACTCTTTTGTTTTTTATTAAGCCACTTAACTCTGACCTATGAATCATTTACGCATGTTTTGAAAGTACGAAACACAAGTGCTGAACCAGTGTTGTGTCCACACATAACAGCAAAACCCTAGAAGAATGACCGCCTATTCTTCAAAGAAAACTCAAGAATGAAGGTGGTCATACTAAATTATATCTTTGACGCTCATTAGAATTGTACAAACTCTGTTTTGACCTTGTATACTGTATTTCCCCAGCCCCTCTATTTTGAAACTAAAACTATTGAACCTTAATTCAATTTCTCACTTCACATAATCGTTTCACTTTTGCCTTGAAGTGTTACTTTTAATTTAATTTAATTATTTTTTATGACGCATGTTCTCTGGTGAGTTCAGGTACATCTGTAACATGTGAGTTAAAATTTTCTATAATACCAAAAAAAAAGACAAAATACTGATGTTTTTGTCGAATAATCTGTTTGACATGAGGGATAATATAGCATTTGCATTTTAACTAAAAGACTCGCGCACTGACAATATGGGCACATTTTTAGAAATCTTTTTAATTCCACAGAAAGGTTAGCCACTTTAGAGTTTCACTTGTGACCCATGAAGTACCCCCGAAATTGTATCATATTAAACAACAACAACAATAACAACAACAATAAACACTCGAGGACTTTAAAGAGTTTAATTTTTTTCCAAAGCTTGAGAGCGCTCACCCCGGCTCGGGGCTCCACAGATGTGATGGATGAGGGCTCCTTGCTGCAGACTGCAGCGGAGTGTTTGACAGTCAAACTTGAAACAGTCTTTGGAACTGAAACGGTCTCTGCCAACATGAACACATACCCCAAACAGTTCGGTAAATATGTACAGTTTCTCGCAGCTTCAGTTTTCAGTAGCTGGCAGAACTTGGGACACCCTCAAAGCTGGCGCAGATTTCTCCCGTTGAGCCTGCGCGTACTGGCGAGCGCAGATGTGATGGATGAGGGCTCCTTACTGCAGACTGCAGCGGAGTGTTTGACAGTCAAACTTGAAACAGTCTTTGGAACTGAAACGGTCTCTGCCAACACGAACACATACCCCAAACAGTTCGGTAAATATGTACAGTTTCTCGCAGCTTCAGTTTTCAGCAGCTACCAGAACTTGACTCCCGTCTGCATCCTCCCAGCCGCCTCCCACTTCATCTGCGGGCAGTACCTGCGTGTGTGAGCGCTGTCACCGGTGGCTTCGCAGATCGGGCAAGTGTAGTTCCGGAGGATGGGGCAGAAAACTTTCCCGTCGTCTGATTTCAGCTTGTGAGATCGGTACACCCTCGGAGTCTCCCCGTTTTGCTTGCAGAAGCGGCAGTAGTCCGAGGATGACGCGCTGCTGCTGGTGTCCGACGCGCTGCTGGTCGGACTGGACTGCGATGAGTTTTTGGAGGATTTCTTCCCCCGAGTGGAAGTGTGGACCTTACTCCAGGGGGGCGCTTGTCCCTTCTTTGGACGCTCGGTGTCTCGGTTATTAACCTCACGGTTGCTGCACAGTTTCTCGAACACTTGGCTTAGATTCATGTAGTCGTGCCACATGTTAAAGCTGTCCCCACCAGTGAGGATCGAGCTCTGGACCTCCAGTCGTCTCGGCATTGTGGTCATTTTTTGGCAGAAGTAAAACTGAGGGTGTGTTTGGAGCGCCTCATATTTATAGCTCACTGAAGATGGTTTTAAAATGCAACAATGTTTGGATCCTATAGATTGCATGCAGCCTGGCGACGTTTTTTGGAGGCAGAGAGAGAGAAAAAAAGAACTTTGGTGCAGGTGCAGTCTTTTATGTAGCTTTCTGGTGACCTTATAAGAACCTTTACGAAGCCCGTTGACAGGCCTTTAATCGAATGATCGGTTGGTTGATTGATAACAGAAAAAAATGACACATAAGATGGACATAAAGGACTGAAAACACCAAGAGCAAAATATTGCATCGCACTCATTTATGTAGTTTATGTTTAGATTAGATAATTTTGCAAAATAAAGCAGCAAAATAAATAATAAGAGCCGGGATGTGGAGACTATGTAGCACTGAAAAAACTCCGTCCATGTGAACAGAATCAGGGGTTACCTTACCTGTTGATTAAATATCAAGACTATTTAGCAATAAGCTTACTTTAAAGGCTCGTAATAGGTGAACTGTCTTGGTATAGTTGGGTCACGCAGAGTTCATGCATTTTTTTTTCTATCGTAGTGCGTTGGCCTTTATCCTCTCATCCCCTCTCGATCTCTGTCTCTCTCTCTCTCTCTCACACACACACACACACACACACACACACACACACACACACACACACACACACACACACACGCGTCC